CGGAGCAGCGGCGGCCCGGTGCCCGCGGCCCTCGCGCCACGTACCTTTCTCTTGGGCATGGTGGCGACGGCGGCGGGACGCAGGCGCTGGACACGAGATGCAGCGGCGCGCGGCTTTGGGCGATCCGGGGGTCGTTCTCGCCTCTTCCTCTTCACACTGCTCGGGCTCCGGGGGGTTTATAAAGTTTTTATAGCGCTGGGAGCCCCGGACCGGTTAGAACCGGATTTCACCTCCCGCCGCCGCTCATTGGCCCAGCTGGGGTCACGTGGGCGGGGTTTAAACTCACCTCCTCTGGAGGGAGTGAGGAGGGGAGTGGGGGGGAGGGCGCGCGAGACGGCTGCGCGCCGAGGGGGTGGGGGCGCAATGGGGGGAGGCGCGCGTCAGAGGCAATAAATGAGGAGGGGCGCGCGAGTCGGCGGGCTTTGGGTTCCGCTCCCGCCGAGAGCTGGCTCTTGCAAACTAAGTTCCTTCCACCTTATGCAACCGAGCTACCCACTTCTCCAAGCCGTGCGACACTCAGGGCGCATCTCGGCGGTTTTCCTTCCCGCTCCCGCTGGGGCCCCAGAAGAAGGGTTTGGGAGGCCTGGCCGCGCCGCTCTGCTCCTCTGGAGGAGGGAGGAGCACGCCGCTCGAGGCACAGGCTGCAGCGCCCGGGGCCAAGGCTGACGTTCGAGTAGGAAAAGAGCGGGGAGGCCAGCTTGGCGCAGCTGGACGTGCATCCTTCCAAGCTGCCACTCCGGGGAAGCCCTTCGTGCGCCTCACCTGGACAGCTGTCCGCTCGAGGTGGGGTGGGGGCTTGCCAGGGAGACTTCACGCGCAGAGGTGCCTTTCGGGCACCACGGGGCAGGTAGGAGCTGTCCTTTCAGCACCCGTTGCACAGCCTCCTCCCCAAAGGCTAATGAAGCCCCCCAACGCCTGTTGGGTGGCTCCCTTAGGTCTCTGCATGCTCGAACCTCAGGACCCCGTCACAGAATGATGGAAAGGGACCTCCAAGAAGCCTTTGACTACTCCCCTCCCGCTAGCACTACCGGTCTTTATACATCTAGCCCAGGCTCCCCCACCCGGCGCGGCCACCAAGCTGGGGCGCTGCAGACACCGCAACTGGCGAAATACCTTCTTCCACTCTGTCAAACTGGCTTCCTTTTACTTGCGCGAGGGAAAGGAGGGTGGAGGAAAGCGCCCCGGGGATTAGGAAACAGGTAGAGGAACAGGTGTGATGGCAAAAGGCTCTTACAGCGTCTCCCACCCCAAGCCCATGGGGTCCTGGAGCTAACCAAGTGCCCGGAGACAAGGCAAGCAATTACAGCAGCAAAACAAAAATGTTCTTCCGTTGCAATTAGCAAACAAATCTTACATCTAAGAATTTAAAAAAAATCTATTTGAGACCGAGGGGAGCACAAGAACAGGATAAATATCGAGGGGGTTTGGCTTACAGGTGGGAGGACAAATAAATAGGTTTTCCCCGACTTCACGAGACAAGGATGGAAGCTGCTTGTATGAATCAAAACTGGAAACTACCACGAGTTCAGAGCAAGTATCTGGCAGTTCTTGCTCCTGGGCAACACTGGACCTTCTGCCTCTTGTTTCTGCTCCTCGAAGTGCCACCTGAGGCAGCTCCTCCCTACTCCACCAGGAGCACCTTTTCCCAGAACACAGGACCTCAGGCCAGAGACGCCAGTCCCACTAATCACCTCCACTGCACCCCCATCATGAGGGAGTTGTAGAAAGAAGACCCAACAGCCTTGTTCACAGGGCACATTCCGTTTGCTGCCTGCAGCCCCTCATTCCTGCCTTAATTGTAGGGCTCTGCATTATAGCCGAATAATTCATGCCTCCCTAATTAAGGCTGTCAACAGCCCCATTGTAAAGCTGGAAAATGTACAGCACCTGCTCTCCGGGAACCCCGTGCCAGGGATTGGTAGTGGGGAGTGCCAGGTGTGTAGGGGGCTTTGCCAAAGGGTGCTCTGATTGGCTTTGCAATCACAGTGGCTGGCATTTGTGCTTGATTCTAGGAGCAGAAATGATGGCCAAAGGGTTTCTAGTGCCAGGTATCCAAGCACGGAAAGGGAGAAGGATACTAGGGGATAGAAAAGGTATGTGTCTGAAGAGTATACTTACTCAACACTGCTTGCCAAGGTCCCACCTCTCTCTGAGGGAGTTGCTGGGCAGACAGTTTGCAGAAAGTAAAATGAGAAGACCGAAGAGTAGCATTTGGTTGGTATTACTGCCTGTTCCTTGCTGCTGTGGGGTACCTGAAGCAGAGTTGCTCAGGCAGACAGTGCTTCAAAGGCACTAATCCTCTCAGCAGCTCTGCATGGATGCCTTGGCAGGGGCGGGGGTAAGGGAAAGGACACAGCCTTAACTCTACCCTCACCTCCCTGCTGGGGAGCCTTGGCCCTCACAGGCAGTGAGAGCCTGGAACAAGTTTTGCCATGCTGAGACTAAATTGTCTCGGGACCCACTTAGGGAGTGGGTCAGAGAGCTGAGAAGCCTTGAAGACTGGAAGTGGTTTGAGATGGTGAGGGTAGGAGGCAGTCACTTGGGAGAAGTGCTTGCTTCTACGCAGTCCTGATGTGTCAGAGGGAAAGAGGCCTGTGTTCCACTAGACCACCAGGATCTATAGGACCTTCTGTTACCCTGTAGCCATGGAGGGGGCTGGTCTCACTGGGGAGTGGAGCCTGGCCCCGTGCCCTGCAAGAGGCGGAGAAAAGCTTGTGTGGGCTGAGTCGACAATAGGTAATTGGATTGTAATCACCCGCCTGGCTTCTGAGCACCATTGGGGGCGCGGAGCCTTTCAGTGAGCAATCAGTACTGCGTGGTGGGAGGGATAGAGATTCAATAGCAAATCCCAGGTGGAGAGCCAAGAGGAGGAGCAGCAGATGGGCAAATTTTCTTTCTTTCTCTCCCGCCCCTTTCTTCCTTGCCCAAATAATGCTGGCTGCCTATTAGCTATTTACCAGCAGATTCAAGGTAGACTAGCCAGATCTTTTGGGAAAGTCAAGTGGAAGATGAAGATGGATGGTTGAACGTGTAGGCCGAGACTTCTTCCTTGCAGTGCTAAAGGATGTGCTAATGGAAGAAGTGCATCTAGTGGCACAAGCAGAGGTGGCAAAGGCAGATGGGGCAAGAAGCCAATGAGTTGCGTGCCTCCCCCCACCCCACAAACTGGTGACCAGAGTTGGATTTAGTGTGCTTCTGGGAAATTCTCACCTCAATCCTGCCCAGGGGCTACAGGCAGCCCAAAGGTGTCTATGGCCAGCAGATCTGACCTTTGGGACTCCCCTGCCAAGCAAGGGGAGCATAATTCATCATTAGGAGGGACATGCCTTTCAGCAAGAAAAGAAAGGGGAGTGGGGCCCTAGAGGCAGAGGGCAGGGCAAAGTGGCAGGTGGCCAGCCTCACTCAGGCTGATGCAGTGCCCAGACGTGCCAGCCAGTCAGCCCGCTTGAGTTCCAAGGCCTGCAGGAAGCCTTGGACTCGCTCTTCCCGTCTGGCTGAGAGTTTGTGCAAGCGTGTCCGTCGGAGCTGGGCGTCCCCACTGGCCTGGAGCCCCTCTCGCAGCAGCTGTTCTGTCACTGCAGCCTGGTCCCTCTCCAGCTGGTGCCTCTTCCGTTCCTCGGCATACATGTCTCTGGCCTTCTGCTAGAGAAAAGTGGGGTTTTGGGTAGGGAGATCGTTTTAGGTATGGGTAGAACTGCATGGAGGAGGTGGGGCACAGGATGGGTCAATGAAGGAAAATTTATACCAATTTTGCTAAGATTTGGGAGTAGGTGTGCACTGGGTGATGCCCACATTGTACAGACATGGCAGTGGCAGTTGTGGGTTCATCTTGGCTTGTTTTGTATGGAAGCATCTGGATTCCTTACAATTGTTAGCCTTACACTTGGAAGGGAACCAGGTAAATGTGGGTCTGAGTTCTGATTTCCCTACCAACTAGCTACATGGCTTTGGGCAAATCCTCTCCTAACCTCATTTCTTCATTTGTAAAGTGGGGGTTGCACTACCTTCAAGAGTGGTTTTAAGGATTAGAGATAATATATGCAAAATCCTCTCTAGCATATTAGCAGGCTCTTAGACAGAAACAGCAATTTTACATGTTGTTATTGTCTATCATTGGCTGCAAGGAAGGTCCTATTCCTGTCTGGGGCACTATTCATCAGGTCACTTCTTGTGATCTCCCAAGTTACTCTGAGGGTACTATCGTTCCAACTCCCTAAATTATTTTTTAGGGTTCAGCTCCAATCCGCCTCCTGCATGGATTTAGGCCTGACTCTTCAAAGGGCCCTCTCATGAACACACTAAGAAACAGGTTCAGCCCTCTTAAGCCATTTAATGTATCTGTCTAGAACAGGTGTTAGTGTTCAAAGTCTACTTTTTCTATTAGACAAGAAGCCCTTGCCAGGCGTGGTGGCACACGCCTGTAATCCCAGCACTTAGGAGGCTGAGGCATGAGTTTGAGGCCAGCCTGGGCTACAAAGTGAGTTCAAGGCCGGCCTGAACTGCGTAACAAGACCCTGTCTCAAAAA